TTTTTATATAAAGATTTTTATATAAAGATTTTTATATAAAGATTTTTATATAAAGATTTGACTTATTATGCAAACGTTTTTGAAGCCATTTAAAAAACTCGCAGGTCGTGTTTTATTAGGTCTAAAGCCACTCGCACTGCGCGCTCGTAGCTTTAAACCTAATAAAACACTCCTGCTCGTTTTTTAAATAGTACATAAAGCGTACACCTCTATGTTATGTTAAATGGAAACGGATACTTAACTTGAGGAAATGCTTGACGTGACCCGAATAACCTCTCTTAATTAATTAAGCAGCAGACAAAACGAAATATGCTAAATTAAATTTTCATTACAATGGCAAGTTTACCTTTCATAGAATGGATGATCAGAACTAGTCGAACATGAGCGCATTTTATCAATGAACACACGCAGTTACAAAAGCAATTTCACACAAACACGTGCATGCGTTAATTTCTAGCCACCATTTCGCTGGCTATATACTTTATTGTTAGCAACATAAAGCACCTTTATTTTAAAATGAAAAACTACACGACAAGTCGACCACAAGTGTCAACAATAAAACACAAGATAGGAAAAACATAAATTGTCTATATCAGTTCCGCGTGAAACAGAAGTCTAGTGTCACTGCTTTAGGATCTTCCAGTAAGCTTGGTTGTAGTAATTGGCATCCGCTCCGACACATTTTGGCGACTCGAACCCAGAGCTTGCTAACCAACCGCCTTCATCGCCTCGCTCGCCCTTGATTTTGGGACCATCTTGGAACAAATAACGCCCAGTTTCAGCATTGACGATAAAATACTTGTCATCACCTTGTGGTTCGATCGTCCAGTAAGCTTGGTTGTAGTAATTGGCATCCGCTCCGACACATTTCGGCGACTCGAATCCAGAGCTTGCTAACCAACCGCCTTCATCGCCTCGGTCGCCCTTGATTTTCGGACCATCTTGGAACAAATAGCGCCCAGTCTCGATATTTTCGATGAAATATTTGTCACCGCCTTGCGGCAAGAAGCGCCAGTACGCTCTGTTGTAGTAATTGGCATCAGCACCGACACATTTCGGGGATTCGAATCCAGAGCTTGCTAACCAACCACCTTCGCTGCCTCGTTCGCCCTTGATTTTCGGACCGTCTTGGAACAGATATCGGTGGGTGTGAGCGTTCTCGATAAAGTATTTTTCACCGTCGAAGCAGGCCATTTCAGATCAGTTTTCTGCTTTAGTTTTACGAATGAACCGAGTCGTTGGCTTTAAACAACAGTACACTGTGCAAGTAGTTTTTATTTTCCGGCAGGTCACGTGCGGTGACGTCACCAGCGTGGGTTGACCTCGACACAAACTATGATGCAATTGCTTGATTCGCAAAACATCCGCAAAACTTCCCATATGTTCTAAAACATTCGCAAAACAACCGTTTCCAGTAGGGCGGAGCGAAGACTATCCTTTTCGGGGGGTGCAAGACAACTTTTTGCCGACAAAAGGGCGTGGCTAGCGCGCGGTCAAAGCGAACCGTATTCAGTTTTAAGTGATGTACAACGATTAACTCCGAGTAGTAAGAAAATTTATTTTAATTTATTTTTAAAATAGGCGAAATAGTTCCGAAAAAAATATATCGAAAAAGCACATCCATTCGTCATCAAACGACCGATTACAAACTAAACACGTCAGTTTCTCTCTCTTTCGTTTGCGTTTTTGCTTGCCTGTCCATACTTTTAAATCATATCTCCGTATTTCTCTTTGTATAAAAGACCGTTAAGTGTAATTTCTAAGACCTTTACTGGCTTTACAAGATTATGAAATGAAGCGCAGGCGCATCGACAGTCAACACGCACATGTGCTTCGAATTTCCTAGCTATGGTATAGGCCTATTTCACAAAATTGCAAGAAAATATAATACTATTAAAAAACGTATTAGCGTAATAAGTTCTTGGCCAATTTAGCTGAATGTTCGGAAAAGGGCCGAACTTTCAGTCGACATATCCATCTTTTCGATCTCGCATTTTCTACAAATTTTCTACAAACAATCTCTCTCCAATCAGGTTATTGCCTATTGGCTTGATCCAATTTATTTTTCCGACAACTGATTTATTGTGCCGACGGACACGGCATTGGGGGGGGGGGCGCCGCCCCCCCCCCTTAGCTACGCCCCTGACCGTTTCGCTACTTCTAAATGAGTACTTAACCAATATTCTAAATTTTAGAATGCGGGTAGTACCCATGCTAGGTATATACCTCAGCAATCCTAACCCTAACCCCTAACCAACCACTAAAATGGTTTGCACAACACCCACCCCACCAACCGCCAGTGTTGGTTGGTTATATTTATACGTAAAACTTTTGCCCAATGCTTGTGGTTTTGTCTTCAGTCGAAGTAGGTCAGGTATATACCTATTAGAATGTTAGGGTTTGTAATCCAAGTGAGAATATATACATTTTAAGACCTAACCAGGAACGACTGTGAAAAATGCAGCACAAGGTCCTCTGGTAGGAATTGAACCTACGGCCCTGCGATTCCGGTGCAGCGCTCTAACCAACTGAGGTACAGAGGCCAGCTGTTGAGCTGTAACCGTAAGTTCATGTATATATAGGTAATCGGGTGTGCGGGTTGTGATAAGGTGGACTTCAATAATTTGGATTCTTGCACTTCACTTGGTGGAATTAATATTAGAATGTTAGGGTTTGTAATCCAAGTGAGAATACCCTAACATCCTAATATTAATTCCACCAAGTGAAGTGCAAGAATCCAAATTATTGAAGTCCACCTTATCACAACCCGCACACCCGATTACCTATATATACATGAACTTACGGTTACAGCTCAACAGCTG